CCCCAAAACCCCAAAACCCCGAAGTTTAGAGATATCTTTTAAATTCAAAATTGTATAGTATTATAATATTAAATTAAAATTTGGAAAATTCAAATGTATCAGAACAACTAGTACAATTAAGGAGGAGATTACTATAGACCAATTTAATCTACTCTGAACTAGCAACCAAAGCTCGATTTTAATCTAATGGATGATCCTTACCAGAATAATAGAATTAACAATGCTTTTGGTGGTCCTTAGATGAACCAGTACAATTAATAGAATCAATTCGCCAATCAAGCCAACAATTACAATCAGAGGGGAACACCTGGCTATGGTTAAGACGCATGGGGAGCAACAAACTAAATGGGCATAAGTGGTGGAATCTAAAATCAATACGGAAACCCAGGTTATCAGGGTAATACCTAGAACTAAAACTATAATAACTACAACAATATGAATAATATTGGCTAACAACCCTACAATCAGAATTTGAATTAGTAGCCTATGCCTGGATATAGCAATTTTAATCAGCCTTTCCAGAATCAAAGCCCACAAAATTATGGAATTGGAATGGGAGGATTGCCAAACCAAGGTATTTAATTTGACTAATAATACGATACTCTAATGAGAAGGATCTCAAATTTCATCTTATCGAGTGGCCATAGAAATTTCGATTCCTTTTTTCGCCCATTTGATTGCTATAAAAGTAGAATTATAGAGGATTGGGAGTTTTTAATCATTTTCCCAGTTCTTACATCACTTGAAGAGGTTAATATCATTATTAACAGGTTGTCTTATGGGATCTAGGGGAAATTAGAATACTCTGTTTTAGTTTCAGAACTCTAAACAAAATACAATAATGGAATTATTCTTCAAGAGTAGAAATAGGTTAGCATCTATATGGCTAGGCTATCTGAATTAAACACAGATATAACAATGACAAGGCTCGAAATGATAGCGAGAGTGATTCTTGAGAGTGATAGAACAGGAACATACAGAGGAGCATTTGAAAATGCATTTGCTTTAAAGCGTAAGAAATTCAAATTATAATTCATTAGGCGAAATCAATTAAGATGAATTAAGATAAATAATTCTAAGGTCTGGACAGCAGGTGAACGAAATCGAATTGAAAGCTCTGATGAGATACTTATTCATAGAAAACCTCTATGTAAACCATCACTTATTATCTTAAAAAACTATAGTAAATCTCAAAGATACAGTTTTGCTAGGGATTTAAATGTATCATATCTGAAGAAAAAGCTTTATTCTCTGGAAGAGGAGGACAACTTAATCGAGGAAAAGCTTCTCTAACACCTTAGTAGACTAACTTTTTAAAATAGATCAGGGCTGGAATTCTTAAGTTTAACATAGATTGGTAGAAATTATTAACTAAAAGTGGGGTCTAACTTGAAGATACTCATATAAATGCTGAATAGCTTTAAGAAATTGGAAGAAATAGTAGATCACTTATCCATCTCGAAGCTAATTAGTTGAATGACCTAATAATTAAGCTTGAAGACCCTAATAGGTAGAACCACATGCTAATCTCAGAATTTTAAAACTAACTATATTAGTATGATGGAGATCTAGGTGTAAGCTTCGAAATCGGTCCTATAAAACCTCAAAATAAGTGGTTATTTTTAAAGTAATTCGCTCAGAATCAGCATAAGAATATAGATGAGCTATTTGACTCAATCTAAATTGATGGATTATAAAATGTCGTGGATAAGATGGAATTCGTCACACTTTTGAATCAATAACTAGGAAAACCATTAAATGAAATAGAAGAACTACTGGTTGGTTATGCAGTGGGTCCAGGAAAAATTAACTTATCTCTAATTTAGTCTGATTTGATGGATGGTGAAGAAACTGATATGACTGAAGAATAAGCTAAACAGGTGCTTGAAGGAATCTTTAATGAAATGAAAAAGTTAATGGCAAAATATGAAACTAACATCGTCAGCATTTTACTTGATAGTGACTAAGATGATGGCTTTATTGATAAGAATGAATTGAAGCAGGCTTTTCATCAGATAGGACTATAGAAAATAACTAATGAATAAATCAATGCTTGTTTCAGGATTCTTGATGAGCTAAACACTGGATAATTAGATCCTACTTAAATTATAGACAGTTTTTTCAAATATGCAAATTAAAAAAAAGTGACTAATCCCCTAGATAAGAACTTTCCTGTGTATGAGAAGGTAAGAAAATATATGACTGATAAAAGATATCTGTCTGTTTCATCAGTCTTTTAGTAAGAGAATAATAATTAGAGCAGAGATGAAGAAATCATTGTTAGTAAAAGTGAATTTCTATCGATATTAAAAACAGTTGTAAAAGTTGAAGAATTATAGAGAGGATATTTTGAATAATCGTTTATGATGGAATTTAATATAATTGGAAGTGATAAATTGGATTTTCAAAAATTTGCAGATTCGATTGGATATGATTAGTTTCAAAAGAAATCTCATGGAATGTAAAAATAAACTGGATTTGGTGATACTCAGGCTTTTGGTAAAGGTATTTTGAAATTTGAAAGCAGAAGGTAGTTTTACAGAACTTTCTTAAGAAGTATTACAAACAAAGATTAAGATGGGACAATTATATTTAAGAAGAAAAATGAACTTGAATTTGATTTTAGAGAAAAAGATACGAATCTACAGCAATTGATACCTAAATTTAGTTTTGAAAATGTCATCAAGAGGTATTGTCCTGAGTTTATTAATGATGTTGATTTAATTGATATTGTTGCTCGTGACTTTGTATAATATCCCAATGAACATCCAGTAAGAGTGAATTACTTTAATTTTATGAACAAAATCAATGATGAGTTTTATAAATTAAAATTCCTTAATGAACTCTATAAAAAGCTTTATGACACTCTTCTCTTCAGAGGTAAAACTGATCTGTACTCTTTATTCTAAAAATTTGATATTGCCTCTACAAGAAAATTTGACAAGGAATAATTGAAGTAATTCTTATCATCGAGAGGAATATCAGATCCAACAAAGGTAAACTACCTATAAGAGGAATATGATCCTGAGAAATCTGGCTTTGTTAAGTATACAGATATAGAAAAAGATTATAGAGACTTAACTAGAGACTTAGCATTTAGCAATAAGAGTCAGGCTGTTGATTTAAATAAAGTGCTCTAAGTCATTAAAAAATACCTGGATATTACTGGGAAAACATTAAGATAGGTTTTCAATAAAACATCAGTCAAAGACAAAGATGGCATCTCTTAGTTTTAATTTACAAAGATTATGAATGAAATAAACGAGAGAACTGGCAGGGAGATCCATGAAAGTCATATCCACAAGTTTATTCTTGAAATAACTTCTCAGGATATTAAACAGATATCGTTTACTGAATTGAAAAAGCAATTTAACACTTATTTTAACCTAAGAGATGAAGACGATCAACTATTTATTCCTAGATAGATAGAAGAACTTTAATAGCTTATAGCTCAAATTGCTCTCGACAAAAAGACAATAGGCTTTGAGCTTGAAAGCCATTTCTAATATCCCAAATCATTTTAGAGCGATTTTGAAAGGGATTTAGATAAAGAGCCATTGTTTTGCAGAAAAATATTGACTAAAGACATTTTTGATGCCTTGACTATGAAATTTACAGAATAGAATTATATTAATACTTAGAAATTTTTAATTGAGGTGAAAGATAAAATGTTCAAACTGGAGTAAAAGTAGTAAATATTTTAGGATATAAAAAAATAGCTTTAATTAAAAAATCTCACTATGAGAGAGATGTTTTATCGAGCAAACTCGCAAATCAAATAGTTTGAGCTAAAGGAGTTATCACCTGAGGAGTTCCAATCAGTATTCTTATTTATTGAATACAGAATATCACTTGATAGAATAAAAAAGATTTTAGAAAATTTGCTTCAAGCAGATGACAATGGGAAATTTAACTATGAAGAATTTATATAAGAATTTGAAGATAGTCAAAATAAGCAAACAAACAAGTTTTAAGGTACAAAAAATTTCTAAAATGTCACTGAAATTTTAAAGAGAATTGCAACCTGTATTGAACAAAGAAATCTTTTAAATCTTGGAGCACTATTAGCAGATTAAGATTACGAATAATAAAATGCCATTGATAAAGAGAACTTTTATAGAGTGCTAGATAGTTTACAGTTAGGCCTTGGTTAAGGTGATATTCTTGAGCTCATGAGGACTTTTAGGAAAAAGGGAACAAAGGACTAAGTAGATATTTCAAAGTTTAGAGATGAACTAAATTTTTAAATAATTAATCCAGATCTTAAAATTCACCTTAGGTCTGTTCTGAACCAAGTAGTACAAGAAAGAATTGTAGAAAATGCAGATCTCTCTCCGAGATCAAGCAAGAAAAAATCCCAATTAGAGCAAGAGGCATTTACTAAATATATGCCATTAATCTAAGACATCTTATGTGGACTATTTATAAAGGGGTCTGAAATCGCAGAATGGTCAATAAAATTTTCAGCTGTGGTAAAAGGAAGTTTAAATATCAGAGAATTTACAGCAGCTATTGAGGCATTAGATGTTTAACCAGATGATGTTTAAATTATCAAGCAATACTATGAGCATCTCATTTGTAGACAAGAAGTTTATCTTGGATTTAAATCACAACTTATTTTGATAGAGTAGTTCTAAAGCATCATCCATAAAGATTGTGCTCTCTCAAAAGACAAAATGCTTGAATCCATCCTTTATGATATTTGCAAGCATTTAACCTTACAAATGACTCCAATAAAAGATAATTTAAGACTATTTGATCCATCATTTTCTGGTCTCGTTTTTAAATAAGACTTTATTAACACTTTACTAGACAACTATCTAAAGCTCGGCGCTGTGCTTACAAAAAATAAGAAGACATTATTAGCTTATAAATACTGCCCAATCTAAGCAATTCAATTTAGATATGAAGATTTTTTAATGGATTTAGAAAAGATTTAGCAACAAAATCCTTAAGCAATTAGACTTTGTTGGACTTAATAGGATACTAATGAATAAATGAGAAAACAAGCTGAAATGGATTTAAAAGAATTAGATTAAGCAGATAAAGATTCAAAAATTTAACCCACTTCTCCAGATCCAGTAGCTTAATCTAAGAAAAATACAGTTTGCACATAAAGGACTTTATCTCTTGGTCATTCTCTAAAAGTTGCAGTAGCTTCATTTTATTTTGATGATATTATGATTGAATCGTTCAGAAAAGGAGTAGCTGTTGAAGTTTATTTCAAGAAATATAGCAAGTATTTTAATGGCATGTTTTTGCTTGATAAAGACGCATTTTCTGAAGCAGTAAGTTCTCTTAATGTAAAATGGGCAGAGCCCATTAAACTCTCTGAAATGTTTGATGCTATTGATGTTGCTGTTCATGGAAGTTACTCTAGAAAACTTAGAATTGAAGATATTGGTGAAGCTGTGTTCCACAATGCTGTTTAAAACATCTAATTCTATTAGGCCAAAGTTATTGAGATAATCTTTAAGGGACTTAAAGATTCAGGTATGCTTCCAAAACTAAGGGATCTTTTCAATTTCTTTAACACAAAGAGAGATAACACTTGCCCAATAAAAGATTTGAAGAACATGCTTTTAGATAAATTAGGATTAATAAAAAATATTTCTGAGAGCTAAATAGATCTACTTATGCAAAGATATGCCTCTTATGATCCCCAAAGAGTAGATTTCTCAATTTTTATCAGAGATATGGAATACTGCAATCTTGGTATTAACGCTTCTTTGATTTGGGCTATTTAACTGGCTGAAGACATTGTCAAGGGAGTTTTGATTTTGGGTTTAAACAATGTAGAGCAACTTTTCTAAAAGTTTATGAAAACTCAAGGCGTGATTATATATGATGAATTTAACAGAGCTATGGATGATATTCAACTTTCACTTTATCATGATGATTAAGATTTCAGAGATTTCTTCAATCATATTGAATTTAATGAGAACAGGGCTACTTTATAACATAATGATTATTCAAAGGTCGGTATTACTTAACTTTGCAACACTATAAAAAGACTAGTTTAAAGTAAGCTTATTTATGTTTTAGAAATTTTATAGAAACTGATGAATAACTCAGTCACTAAATAATGGAAAAAATATTTGCAGAATACAAAAAATAGAATCAAACTATCACAGTCTTCACAATCTTTAGTGGGATAGATTTAGAAAATACAGGAATGGTATCCTTTGCTGATTTCAAATATGGAATCGAGGAAAAGCTTAGAATCAAGACTATTAAACCAATGGATCTATAATTCTTAGCCAAAAAATTTGCTCCAAAACATTTAAGATCGAATTAATCAGAAATGATTGATTATAGAAGATTCTTCGATTATTTTGAAAGACTAGAGAGATATGGCTTGAAAGCTGGAAAAGACATTCTAAAAGATAAACAAGAGCCAAAAGCAAACATCAACTAGGTATCTGAGCTTCCACCAGAAGTCAAAAAGATTTATTCAGATATGAGCATGTATATTAATAAGTAGAAATTGATGGATGCTCTCTGCTAGGAACTAGCAATGGCAGATTAATTTAAGACAGGAATGCTAAACGATGCAACAATTCACTAATGCCTTAAAAAATTCAAAATAATGGTGAATAAGAAGTAATTAAACTACATTATATTCCCACTTGCTTTTGATAATCAAGGAAATTATAATTATCTAATGATGATTGACATGTTATTTGGAAAGCAATAAGCTTTACTGATTTAGTAAAAGTTTAAATTACAAGGCTATAGCAACGCTTAATAGAGACAGGATAAGCCAGACCCAAAGTAGTAGGTTTTCAAGAATCTAGTAATGAGTATTAGATTTAAAGATAGTGTGGAGCTAAGGTTCCAATCAATTCAAAATATTGCCCACTCTATTAGTAAAGGTAGTTATCTACTTAGAGAGTAGGAATTCTACTCTCTATTCAAGAGAGCAGGAATTACTTTAATGTAGGCTGATTAGGAATTCTTGATTTAAAACTTTAGATAATATAGAAATTAAAATAATAATGCTATTGATTTCAAATTTTTCTTACAAACATATGATATTCATGATGCCCCATCACTTCTTCTTATGGAAATTTAAAGAGAAGTTTAAGTTAAAAATGTTGATTTTGATAAAGCTATTGAGAAGTTAGGAGATTTTATAACTTTTGAATAATTTAGAGAATTCTTAGAAGCCAATTAACTATAGACTCAGCAGTTTATCATTCCTGAGCATAAGAGTTTGTTTGATATCATAGCTGATCGGAAAGAGACAATGGAAAAAGGTGCTTTTAAGAAAGCTGTTAAGGGTGAATATGATAGTTAAGAGTAGGAATAACTTCCATATATTGTCAATGAATTCACGTACTTTATTTGCAACAATAATGTAGATATTTTCAAATTTGTAAATCCAGCAGCAAAAAAACTTACTCTTCAAAATTTCCAATCATTAATTTAATAAATGAAATATATTCCAAGTAATAATAAAGAGATGCCTCAACTTTTAAGTTACTTTGAATTTGATGATGATAACAAATACATTTCTGTGGACAAAATAGTATTTTAAATTAAAAAAATCATTCCTAATTATGGCGCAGCAGCTCAATAGAATAATTAGAAATAGCAATAGCAACAACCCAATATGCAACAATAGCTTTAAAAAGAAAATTAAGCTCCAAATCAAGTAAATCAAATATCAAAGTAACTTTCATAATTCAATAAGAAGATAAAAGCTATTCTTTCAAAGCTAAATGAGGGAATAAGAAGGAAAAAAATAAGCACTTCGTTGCTTCTTCAATAAATGGACATGAACAAGAATGGTTAGGTGGAAAAATCTGAATTTGTGGTATTTTTTTCAAAAGACTTAATAATTAAGGGACTTACCTAACAAGATCTAGAACTGCTTTATGATGCCTTAGACACGAATAAAGATGGAATTCTGAGTATTAGTGAACTCTGTCTCTGTATTTAAGGCATGCAAGAATCTAAGGAATAGCGACTGAAAAGTTTTGATCTGGACTTACAGAAGGAAATGGTAAGAGAGATTAATGAATTGTTCAAATTCTTCGACAAAAACAATGATGGCAAGATAAGTGTAGATGAGTTAGTAGTGGCCTTCAGATCTATTAACTAGAATATTGGAATAGAGGAGGCGAAAGAAATTATGAAGATTTCAGACAAAGATAAGAATAACAATATAGACAAATAAGAATTCGTAGATATGATGCTGCCAAGACTAAAGGAAGAGTTACTAAGCTACGAGTAGAATTTAGATGATTTAAGAAGGCTTTTCAAGGAAAGCGATAGTGATCACAGTAATTACCTTAGTAAAATGGAGTTAAAGACTGCTCTCATGAAACTTAATATTGAGTTAACTGATGTCTAGCTTGAAGATCTCATGAAAGAGCTTGATTTAGATGGAAATCAAAATATTGACATTGATGAATTCGTTGCTTTCCTCAGTATTGCAGATTAGATCAAATTCAAAAATCCCTAAACTAAAACTAACATCATTAGAATAAGACATGCTAAGAAATTGCACGCAATTGATTTTTACAACTGCTTTAAAAATCTTCCCCAGTGCTTCTTGCCGTCTTTCACCACAGATATGTTTGAGAAAAGAAATATGTACACACCCTCATACTATTTATACCCAGATTTTGATTCTCGGACAATGACTTATAAAGACCTACTCAAACTAGAGTACATCACTGAGGTTGATTCCATAAAGAGATATATTGCTATGCATTAGCCGCATATAAGCTGTGAGATTTAAATAGAGGAGTTTAATAATGTGCCACTTCCAAGAAAGGAGGAGTTTGATTGGACCAAGATAACTCACAGAGAAGTTAGAGCAGTACTGTATGACTTCAGATCTGGAGAATTTTTATCAAACAGCTTCCTAATACAGGCTTAATGGAAGCCCGAATATGAGGGTAAATGGCTCTTCAACACTAATGATAACTTAAATCAAGCTAAAAACTTCATACTTAGAACTGACTATCTAAAGACTCCCTAAAGTTTAGTTGAGGTTCATCTTTTAATTGAGTTGGTTTATTATACTGTCAACTAAGATTAAATTCAATAAGTTACTTGCGCTTGGGGTATAGTTCCTGCTTAACAACTTGACAAGGCAGCCAAAATTAAAGTGTAACTAAGAGGAGGTTCACCAATAACTGAGATAAAGATGAACTAATCAGAATTACATTAACCAAAGAGCTTTAACTTCTTGAAAAAAATAGTTGCAAATGTGGAAGAAGCAAACCTTGTCTTGAATGTTAGACCATTCTCAAAATTCTCTGAGTAATCTTAATACTATGTGAGTATGCTCCCATCAAATTGCCTAATTAGTAAAAGACTCATATCCTTTGGAGCTGCTTTTAGACTATATTGCCAGAGGAAACTCTCTAAATCATAATAGCTTATGATAGCGCCTTAAGGAAACTTTGTGATTGCTCAGTTCAAAAAAATCTTTGACTGTCCTGATATAAATATGATCTTAGGTGATTGTTGGGAATTAGATGTTAATTAAAAGCTAAACAACCAGGTAAATTTAAACATGATAGTCTAAAAAATGGAGGATTTCATGATAAAATTATATTCTATCATATACAGCACAGAATTCGCATTTGATCATGTAAATCCTACCAGATCTTCTTCTATTGATTCTGAACTTTTTAAAACCAGAGAACTTCTCATTAAAAATGCTCTAATTCCAGGCAGATATAAGCCATTTATTGAGTAGCCTAAACCAAAAAAAGGCAAAGAGGCTGAAAAGCCTATTCCTGCAGCACCAGTATTTGCCAATGATGATTATAAGCCCTTCAATATCTCAGAAATGGAAATATCTATATCAGGACTAGATGACTTTGAAACGAAGTAAGATGAACTTTTGAAAATGTATCAGCAAATGGGCCTAATCTACTGATAACATGAAAAATTATGTGAGAGTAAAACTCTCATAGATTTTGATATTATACTTAAACGATTTTAATAATCTTAATTTCATAACTATTTTAATATTTAGAACAATTTAGAAACATAAGTTAAAGATATCATATAATCTCAGGTCCAAATCTTTTCTCATTGTGGCTTTGCCAGCAACGAACTCTCAAATACAATTGGTATATCTTCCTTCTTTTCCTTTTTATAAAGCTCAATTATATCTACATTTCTCAATTTAGGATCCTTTGCATGCTCCTTAGACTCACCAGTTCTGGTCTTTTGAGTAAACATTCCCTTATCATTCATTCGCTTCATTACTGATTCCACAGTCTTATCTTCATCTTGTTGCGACTCTCCCTTTTTAACAATATGCTTTTTGATAAGTCTTTCTAACTCTCTTAGACTATTAGGGAAATGTTTGCTGCTCTTCATTTATTGGTATAGTTTCTCAATAATAATATCAATAGGATCTTTTTTCACTTACTCATGGTCATGCTTAGTCTCTTCTTTTTCTTTTTTAAATACCAAAATTGGAGAGTCGAATATTTGGTTGGCTAGTTCTTTATCAAGAATTATGTCACTTTCTTTTAGAGTCTTTGATGTCTAATTTTAGAGTATTTCATTGACTTTTGCATGATCATGCTCAATGATATTTGCATCAATCATTTTAATGAGACCAAATTTAGCAATCAGCTTTAGAATATTTGAACTTATTTATTTGCTATTGTTATGTAAAATCTATGCTTAAGCCTTATCCTTCGTATTTTAAGGAGCAGTATCCTTTTTCATAATGAATCCATGAACATAGTTAGCAATTTACTTCACTAGCTTGTGCAGTTTTTTTATTTCGAAGATTCTTGCTTTCTGGAAAAGATGTAAATACTAGTCAAACAGAGTTTAAACTGCGAGGAAAATGATTTGATCCTCATTTTACTCAACTTGCATATCTTCATCGTTAGTCAATTTTCTTACTTTTTCTTGTTGTTCTTGATTCTCAAGATTAATAGCATCATCTATTAATTACTAAGCCTTCTGCTATTTCTAATGGATTTACAACTAGATCTAATCAATGATCTATTAAAACTTGGGAGTGTAGTTTATCTGAGTAAAGTTCTCAAAATCTGTGATAGTCTAGATCTGGTTAGTCAAGATTGCACTTGTTATTACCTAGTTATCCAAAACATTGTCAAGAAACAAGCTTCTAATGAAATGATAACTCAAATCACTTTGGACCTTGTATTTCTCTTTTCTGATTGTTGACATATGAGCTTTTACCAAGTTTTGAGATATGTTAAGGAGTCTTTCAAGGTTATTTGGCTACTTCGATGTAACAACTTGCTTTATAAACTTTTTCAAAATAGTTTTTAGCTATGTGACTTCAAAGTTGCTCAGAACCTCCTAGTTATCAAATTAGCTCCAGAGATTTATAGCTTCATCAACATTGAAGTCTTTGACCTCATTGCATTTTCTGATGAATAGGTTAGTTTTAAGCTTTCTCTCATTAGAGCTAGTCTCAAGTCTAGACTTGAATTAGTCAGCCTAGTCTGTAAAGATGTGAACTTGCTTATTGTTTTAAGATCCGAAGATACCTATCAGCAACCACGCGATATTTATATCATAAGTAGAGATTATGTTTGAAGGCAATCCATTTGACTTATCTATTGCTAGCAAATTATTGCCACTATTTTTTTGAGATATCTTGTGTTGCACTTATTTGCTAAATTGATTTGGGATTTCAGTATCCTAAAATAGTATAAGCACCTCTGTAGAATTCTTGATGATATCATCAGAAAACTTCAGATATGAAGTGGAGTCCTCAGTAGGACAATCAAAAATTAAGAGCATATTGAATCTGTTGCTTAAATCGAAGGCATCAATTACTGACATTTTGCTATTTTATTTTTTCCACAAAAATTAATCTATTTCAATTCTCATTTATGTCTATCAATATTACTCATGGGGTTTTGGGGTTTTGGGGAGATCGGAAGAG